GGGAGCTTAACTGCTAAGCTATGGAACCCACACCTCCTTAATGGTCTTTTAATGATTCATTAAAAGATTAAAAAAGATCATTAAGTCACTTAATGGTTTTTCATAGTTCATTAAAAGATTGAAAAGATCATTAAGTCACTTAACAGTCATTTAATGATTCATTAAAAGATTAAAAAAGATTGTTAAGTCACTTAACAGTCTTTTAATGATTTATTAAAAGATTAAAAAAGATCATTAAGTTACTTAACAGTCTTTTAATGAATCATTAAAAGATTGAAAAGATCATTAAGTCTCTTAATGGTCTTACATGGTTCATATATATTTAAAAATCATTACTTAATAATCAGTAAATGTATATGAACCATAAAAGATCATTAGTGTTTTGTAGTTGATCAAATTTATTGACTTGACTAAGTCGATGTTTAAAAATAAGCTTAGCTGGCTATGTCAAAGTTGATTAAACTTCAGAAGTTTTAGATATTTTTTTTATTATAATTAATATAAAGTCGACTAAGTCAATTTTTTGAAAACTCGGCTTAGCAGGCTAAGGTCGATTTTTTTAAAAAAATCAGCTGACTAAGACAGCTAAGCTGATTTTATCAACTAATGCAATATAGACTACAAACACTAATTTATTATTAATAAAAATAAATCAACTAGTTAGATATGATTCATATACATATATTAATCATTAAGTCACTTAATGATCTTTAGTATTTGTAGTTGATTTTGTATTAGTTGATAAAATCAGCTTAGCCAGCTTAATCAACCAATTTTTTAAAAAAAATTGACCTTAGCCTGCTAAGCCGAGTTTTCAAAAAATCTACTTAGTCGAGTCAATTTTATAATAGGTTATATTAAAAATTACAGTAACTAATCAAGTTTAGGCCAAATCATAATATTTTTGGCATTACAGTGATCTGATAATACTGAAATAAAAAACTTATCAACAATCAACAATCATTTGGCTAATTTTTTTATCAGATGAAAACAGTTTTAAAATAAGTAACTTTAATTAACCAATTAAAATTATTGACTCCAACTTAGCCAGCTAAGCCAATTTTTAAATATCAGCTAAGTCGAGTTGATAAATTTGGATCAACTACAAACACTCATCTGTGACAATTAATAATATTCTGGCTTATTAAGGTTTTTTTCTAGATTGTGTTAATGATAATTTATACTGCTACTTGATTGCTGCTTATATAGCTAATCAGTAACAATATGAATTATCATTATATTTATTATTATAAATTCTGGGACATCTGCTCATTATCCGAAATCTTTTTAATTGTTCAGTAATTTACCTAACTCTAAAAATTATTACATCCAGACTGAAGAGTTAAGTAATTTACCCAGTACCAAAAAGATTTTAGGTAATGAGAAGATGTCTCAGAATTTATAATAATAGCTATAACACAATCTAGAAAAAACCTACTAATTTTTGATAAGCCAGGATATTATTATTACTTATTATCTATTACTTTAATCTATTACTTTAATTTATTACTGATTATTTGTTATGCCAATTCAATTCATTTAATTGCAATTATATGAAATACATATTAATGTTGATTACATGATTTAACTACACTTCTATGCTTTACATGTTCAACAATTCTTTTAATATTATCATTGCTGTATTCTAAAAGATGATTTGCCATAAAACATCCAGCTGGTCAATTGCTTCAACACCAACTTCACTAAATATATTAAATATATTTCATGCCTTATGTATTATCTGACAAAGATTGCCTATTGTCATTTGATGACTCATATAATGTAACATTGTGTTGTATATTTGTGTACGAGCTACTCTATCCTTTATATCCTCACTTATTAATTCCCTTACTCGATTCTCGAAAGCTTCAGCATAATCATACTATTTCCTAATTTCTATTAAATTAGACTTTTTTGATTGCTTTTCAGCTTGTTTTGCAATATTAAATAAATTAAGAAAATTTAACCTATTGGTTTGTAGGCTTTAACTGAGCTATCTTCTGTCCCATTAGGAGTAATTAGAACCCTGACAACTTCTGTTATTTTTTTTGGTACTTTTGACCTATATGGCCTTTTTGATAATGTCAATGAAGGTTTTAATACATTATTTACAGACTTATTTTCCTAAATCAAAATTAATTTTCAATATATATTTCATAATATGAATATTATATAACACTGTATTATAAATTTTAATAATACTAACCTGTTTATTAGTTTGTTCATTGACTTGTGCTTGCCTGCCATGCACTTGTCCACCTTGTGCTTGCCTGCCATTTGCTTGTCCACCTTGTTCTTGCCCACTATTCACTTGCTCACCTTGTGCTTGCCAGCTTGTACTTGCCCATCATGTGCTTGCCTGCCTTGTGTTTGCCCACCTTGTGCTTGCCCACCTTGTGGTTTCTGCTTTGTACTTGCCCACCATATGCTTGCCTGCCTTGTACTTGCCCACTATGCACTTGCCTGCCTTGTGCTTACCTGCTTTGTGCTTGCCTGCTTTGTGCTTGCCTGCTTTGTGCTTGGCCTCTTTGTGCTTGTCTGCTTTGTGCTTGCCTGCTTTGTGCTTGGCCTCTTTGTGCTTGCCCTCTTTGTGCTTGCCCTCTTTGTGTTGCCCTCTTTGTGCTTGCCTGCTTTGTGCTTGTCCACTTTGTGCTTGCCTGCCCTGTGCTTGCCTACACACTTGCACTTGTAGTTCATTGACTTGCACTTGTTTATTAATTTGCTCTTGTTTATTATCATCTTGTGCTTATAGTTCATCAAATTGCACCTGTTCATCGAATTGCACCTGTTCATTGGCTTGTGCTTGTCATTCATTAGCTTGTGCTTGTAGTTCATCAGCTTGTATTTGTAGTTCAACAGCTTGTACTTGAAAAGATGGTATATTTAATATTTTTTCAAGACAATGTGAAGTTGACATTTCAATATATCGATTTGGTGTTTTATAGTCTTTAAATTTGCAAGAACAATAATTATATTTCATAATACACTTCTAGTGAAAGAAGTGCCTGCAGTTGAGTAAAATTACTAATTGCAAAAGATTAGGAGAAATTTCACAGCTACATATTTTGCAAATATTAGGGTCTCTACATTCCACAGGAATTAAATCATCATCGTTGAAGTATAATTTATAAGCAAATTTTTTTAGTTCGTCTATAATTAGTAGTAAAAATGGTTTTATAGTGCACTCATCCAATTGCTTTATAAATATATTAAAAAAAAATAGATTTAAGAATTAGTAATCAAATAATATAGACTTGTAAGTATAGATCTTATTATGAGTTTAATTTTAACTAGCATCATTTCTGTTATTATAAAAAAGTATAATGTAAATATAATTCTTACTATAAGATTAAATTTTGGCTATTATCATTACTGTTACTATAAAAAAGCATAATGTCATAATGATTTAAAAATGAAATCATAAATGAGCCATTAGCGGCTATTCAAATTCGTAGATTATTCTGAATAATTTTTTTTATATGTTATATACTTAGAATTCAATGCATTACAAATCGACTACTGTATTTTATGATCCAAACCATACTTCTTACACATTATGATAAATAAACTATCATATACATTATTTAAATATCTATATGACCATAATTATTTTATGGCAGGAGGGTAGTTTAGACTGTAAAATACAGTATATTATTAAAAATGTAACTGTATAATAATAATGTATATAGTAATTAATTGCTTATATAAATCAGTTATGTCAATGTTAAAATATTGAATTTTTAAATTATATGTTAATAGGCTGGACAAAATCTAGGGATGTTACAGTTGTTTTCATAAATTCTAAAAAATTCAGCAAAAATTAACTAGCTGAATATTTGCCAATTTGTTAAGTTCATCATAACTTAACAAATCAGCAAATATTCGGCTAGTTAATTTTTGCTAAATCTTTCAGAATTTAGTAAGTTGGTCTAGAATTGACAATATTACATGACTTTTAAAACTTTTTTGAATAGCGATTTTATTCCAGTTAGTCACGTGCAGGATTTTTAATGAGATTATTTGGCCTGCATTAGCATATAATTTGGCCTGTATTAAATATCATTTGATCTGTATTAAATATCATTCAGCCTGTATTAATATTAATATACCAATTTCTAATTAGTAATTAACTCTTTTCTTTAGATATACTATAGCAGATTCAAATCTAATAATCTAATCGTGAATAACTTTTATGATCATCATATGATTATGTATTATGAGCAATTTAGAATAATTATTTCTTCAATTAGTAGTTATCTTATTTTACTAATACTCTATTATCTATTAATCTTTTTTTTTTAGATATATTGCAGTGAATTCAAACTACTAATCCAATTGTGAAGTTCTTTCATGATCATTATATGATTATATATTATAGAACCAGTTCTCAATCTGCTGATGTGGACAAAATTTTGATAATTAGATCAATCTAATTTTATAGGTCAAATTAATGTAGGTTGAATTTTATTAACTAATTTTATTATATTAAAATTCGACTGTTGAATTTATGTTAAATTTTGAACTAATTTTGTTAAAATTTGACAGTTGAATTTCAATAATTATCATTAATGCCACAATGAGACAATTAATAAAGATTGTCAAAAAATTCAACATATTTTAATGCATAATTCGACAACTATCACATGATTCAATTAAAACATTCAGCCATAATTCGATAACAATAATAGTAATAATAGCTTTAAATTAAAAAATTCAACTTATTAAATGCTACAATTCAACAACTATTATATGACTTGAATTAAAAAATTCAACATATAATGACTCAAGCACTGAAAATTCAACATGTCAAATAGCATTATTTGAATACAAACAGTGCTAGATATCTATTATTCACATGATTTATATTTAGCAAATAAATTGGCATGATGAAATATATTAATTGAAGAGCATAAAACTATTAATTCTTTGTTGTTTCTAAATAATGTTTTAAATATCAAAACAATAGTTAGATGAATTATAGATGAATTAGAGATTTTTGAAAACTCTTTCTGCTGATCACTTTTTCCAAAACATGGCTAAAATAAATATGCTAAAAAACACAAAACTGGTGCAGTAACCTATATTGAGACCTCTAAGAAAAAAGACTCAGTACACAAAACACAAATATTTTGTCTTAGCAACAACATAAGCAAACTTTTGGGAAACAAAACTTTTTCTGGCTTTAAGAAATTTTAAACAAATTTTTGGGAAAATCAGAAAAGTATGCTAGACTTAAAAAACAACAACAGAGCATGTGACTAGCTATCAACATAAACAACAACAAACAACAGTGCATTACGTTAAACAACAAAC